ATTGATTGATTGATTGATTGTTGCAGTGGGAACCAGGGACTTGGGAACAAGTCAGTGTTGGAGTTATAGATTCTGTTTATCTTTGTGAGAAGTCATTAAAAATCATGCTGCACCATGATCCTCCTCCTACATGCTGTTGTCTTCTTTTTCATGGTTTGTGTCAGTGGCAACATTGGGTTGACGATCGTGTGACTCGTGTGACGTGAACCAAGTGTTTCTATTGCAGTTTTGCAAAAATAAATCAGTTTTGATACGGCCAAACCACCTCGTCCTGGCGGCAAAACAGTTGATCTAAAACTTTTTGTTTTTTTTCTTTTCAAAATTGTTGTGTTTCCATTAAGCGAAGTTCTTTTCGAAATGTTAAATTGCGCAGTGGTCAATGGAAACACTGCTGCTGGTATTTATCTTTTTTTGTGATGTAACCAAATGTAATGACTTGCTCATCTAAACCTTTGAATTCATGTGTTCTTGTCATGGCTTTTGACTGCCTCCAAAAACATTAGCAAAGCCACTTTTTCACTTTTTCCATGGAGGTGCCACGATGGGAAGAAATCTTGTTGGTAAATTTCCTCTCATTCCACAGACAGCCGATGACAGAATCGTAACAAAGAGGAAAGGAAATGGGTGGTTCTGGTTTTGGTGGTTTACAGTGATTTAAAATGTTTCAAAAATTTACAGTGAAAATAAAGTTGCACTTCTGTTCTGAGGGTATTGATCAAATAAGGGCATTAAGCATCAGAACCACATAAAAAAAAATGGCAATTGTATTTTCTACTAAAAATAAGTTCACGTTCTGTCTTAAGGAAACCTGAATGTGAAGTTGAAACCTTTTCTCTGCTCTGTGTCTGCAGGGTGACTGAACCGGCGCTCCTGAGCTGTGCTGAGCCGTTTGCAGACCAAAGGTGAGCAGCATTACGCCACACAGATCAGGGTATTTCACACTGCTGCTACTGTTGCGCGTTTTGTGCGAGCGTCAACAGACTTGGCTGAGCATTCCCTCCTGGGACCTGCACCAGTTTCCGTCCCCACCGCTCTGATCCGACTGTAGGAATTCAACAGAGAATCCAGGACAAACATTCATCAGAGTTTTACGAACACTACCTACCCGGTTTAAGTTGAGCAGGGCTGATGTATGTGTATGAGATCTAGAGAGAAGATGGTGTAGTCTGAGGAGCAGCTGATGAGGGAGCAAAACAGGAGAAGCAGAAGTGAATAAATCAGGAAGTGAGGGGAGCTGTGAGGAGGATGAAGAGCAAAAACATACCGATCAAAATGGAGGCATGGAGACTTTTAAGCTAGATTTATTTATATTTTTTTTTAAAACACAATCCTTGAGTGAGAGAAGTTCTGGTTCTGATTCTTAAGAACACGACAGACGTGAAACGGTCATGTAACTACTAGAGATGCACTGATCCACTGTTTTCACTTCCGATACCAATATTGATGTCTGAGGTTTATTGGCTGAATTTATTTATTGGCGTCCATGTTTGGCTAGGGTGATGTCATTTCCTTTTGCATAATTTGTCTTAGGGCTGGATGACATGGCTGAAAAACTTAAAATGATATAAGCATTTCATTTCAATCGATATCAATAATTATTGATTAGATTTCTGGTTTAAGTATCTAAAATACTGTGAAACCAGTGGCTTGACCTTTACTGTTTTATCCACAGTTTCCTCGTTTTCTTATTTCTGTGCAGCTATGAGACACGGTGGTGAAACCTTAAACTGCTCAACAGGTTGTTGCCAGGTAACCAAGGAGTGAGTTAGTTGATGCCACCGACCCGGCATAGCTGGTTGTGAGATTTTGAGCAGCTAAAGCAGCAGTGGTGCCCAAAGTGGGTCCTGGAGGGCCGGCTTTCTGCGTGTTTTAGTTCTCTCCCTGGTTTAACACACCTGGATCCAATGATGGCTTGTTAGAAGCCCTAAGAGGAATACTGACAAGATGAAACGGTTGTTACTACCAGCAGGGAGAGAACTAAAACATGCAGGATGCCGGGCCTTGAGGACCCACTTTGGACACCACTGAGCTAAAGCCTTTCCTCTGCCTACATCTTCCAGAATGCCGTTTGGTTCTGGATCTGAGTTCAGCGCCTCTTCTACATGTCAGATATCGAATATTCTCTTACCTACTGGTATTCATCACATGTCTATCACAATATACACTTATTGATTTATTGTCCAGCCATGATCTGACTCTGTTCAACACATTTTGGTCCATGTTTGGACGAACTGTGAACCAATCTTTGAAACCCAACATCACATCCAGATTGCTGTGGTGTTCCTGTGGATGACTGGGAACCAGTTCCTCCAGTCAGATTCTCAAGACTGGCAGGTCTCATACGTTCCACATACCGACGGCTGCTTTTCATATTAACTGCAGACATGTGGCTCAGGTCGTACGCTTCGGTTATTTTGGCTGAGGGATACCAAAAGTATAACTCTTACATTGTTGACATTGTGAATGTCACTAATTCAGCTGGAAAGCAGCTTTAAGCTGGTCGGCAGGCAGCTGCTGGCTGGTTGGTTGGAAAACTGTGAAGTGGTTTCCAGAAGGCGGATCCTAGCTGAGGTATATGGAGCCACATTCATGAGGTTTTGCAGATAATCCCTCCTCTTGTGGGGGGGGGAGTATGCTCTTTAGACTTCTACTTGAGTTCTGTGAAGAAATAAATGTTTCTGTGATTCCTGGAGCTAGCCACATAATATTGTTCCGAGTGTTGAGTGTTGTAAACCGGAGGTTTGATTCCTGCTTATTTAATCAGCAAGTCTTTTGACACACTATAGGGGTCAAGTGGAAATGGCGGAAAATGGTAACAATAGCAAATGTGTTGGATGTTCTTCACCTTACACACCTCACCGGCTGCCAGCGGAGAGTTTTATTCACCACTACAGCCACATCCACACTAAAAAGTGTTGTCACCATGGCATGGTGGTGCTTAGTTATGGTTCATTCAGTGATTGAAAAAAAGATGGATTTTAGCTACTTCAAACTACTCCAACTTAAAAAAAAAAAAAAAAAATGGGTGGATTCTGCTCACTGGCCAGTGAGTCTGTTCATTGCTAGAATGTAGAAATTGTCTGGAAACGGTTTACAGTGTGAAATGACACAAGCGTCTTACATCAGGGGTGTCCAAAGTTGGCCCAGAGGTCATTTAAAACCCTTAGATTGATTTAGCCCCCCCCCCCCAACCACAATTTAACATTCAGTTATATTAGGCATAACAACACAGGCAGTTGACACAGGTAGACATTTTTATTCCATTTAAAAAGGGTATATAAGTTTTGCTGGCAAAGTAAAATCTTAAAATGTTACATAATTCAATAATGTATGAATCTTTTAATAAGGACACTTTTTGATGTCTTTAATTTAATAGTAAATGGGTCACAAATAAGGAAAATGTCTTTCACAAAAACAAACCTGGGGACGCCTAAACCTGCATCTAATTGGCTTGTTGAACTTCACTAACTGCAGCAAACAAAGAGTGATGCAAATCCTGTCCTGACTGCTGAGACGGGCTGTGTGTGTGTGTGTCACAGTCTGTTACATGTCGAGGCGGAGAGAGGCATGTAACACCAACTACACGAAACGCACCGCGTTGGTGTGTGCGCTGGGAGCGGGTTCAAAGGTCACGAGGTTTTTTTGTTGTTGTTGTTTTCTCGTGATCATTTCAGCCAGAAATGTTTGTGTCTTTGGAATTGTTCGTCTCTGTAATGAATTCAGCCTCAAACCGAAAGAGCCGTTTATTCAAAAGCGAACACCCTGAAGGTACACACAGAGTGGAGGTGTGGGCTTTGGTGAAGGAGTGCCTCTGTTTGCTCTTTATCAGGGTTAGTTGTGTCTGGCGGTTTTCTGACCGGCCTCTCCACCTTGGTTTCACTTGACAGCAGGAGGTGAGGCTGTTCTTTCTAGTTGCTAACCTGGCTAACAAATCTGGGAAAGGTTATTGTCCAGATGTTTTTCCAACAAGCGTTGCTATTGTTTGATACTCTCAGAAAAAAATAATAATCCACTAGAGGTGCAGAAAAAAATCGATTCTATAGAGAATAACGAGGTGTAGTCCTGGGAATTCTGACGGATTTAAAATGCTCCAAAATCATTTTTAGATTTTAGTCTGCTTAACTTGTTGTAAAACTTTATTTAAGCCAACTGAATTAATGCCAAGTTTAGTTTTTTTCAAAATTGCTGCAAATCTATTTCTGAAATTTTAATTTGCGCAGTTTTATGGTTAAAGGAACCACGGCTAGAGAGCCTCCATGTCCGACCAGAATCTGCATCAGGCCAGCTAAACGTCTCTGGGTCAGCGAAGCAACGGCCACTGACTGCAAAGCAAAACCCGATTGACTGATCGAAATATCAGTCACTATAAACGCTGATGGGATTCAGGCCAGCTCCGCTGTCTGGTGATCAGACTGAAATATCTGATTGGCTCATTACAAAGTGACACAGATTTAGCACAGAAAAGTCCAAATAAAACTAATTTTAGACCAAAATATAGACCAGCTGTTTGTATTTTTTACAGTTTCCCCCTGAACAGATTGTCGTGTTTCAGTTGAATTGTACAGGATATGCAGAAAATTAATGGAGAAAAAAAAATAGAGATTAGAAATAATGTTTGACATTGTATAACCTGTCCGTTGAACAGTGTTGTGTACACATTTACTAGATGTTTTACATTTTTTATTGCTTTTACAAATCAGTCCTGATTAACATTGTTGGGCTTTTTTTTCCATGCAATTGCTTGTTCTAAGTTCTAATTAATTGTTTTTCGTATATTTTTCTTGTCAAAGAATCCCAATTTTGTTAATCATGAGTAGGAGTAAAGGGTAAAACATCCATGGGGGGGTGGTGAAAACGTTTCACAGGCACTCTATATCAAATTCCTCCATTAATCAAGGATGTTTTACTAATATGTTCATATACTAATATTACTTACATAGCCACTAGCTGCTGCCCTGGTGGGTGAGAATCTGATCCAGTAAAGACCCGAGGCAGGACCTGAGACATGCATCATCTTTCGGCATGTTGCTGGTAACCAACAACCTGCGTTACCATAGCAACAGATTCTAAGAAGCTGTCTGTCATATTTATAGAGACGGCAATAAAGGATGTGAGAGCAGCTTTAATGTGTTTCCTGCTTCCCTCCATCATGTAGCTCTGCCTGGTCACCAGCAGCACTGCTGACCTGCTGGGCCCCGATTCTGCAGCCCAACAAAACCAAGCTGTTGTCTTCTGGGGGGGAGGTGTGAGGTGTGGGGTCGAGGGAGTGGCTGAGGGGTTTGTGGGGATGTGGGGGCGCCGTCCCCACCTCTCTGTAAATCCATTCAGCTGTATCAACTTCCTGCTGCCTCCTGTTTGTTTCTGTACGAGTAAAAATAGAACTCATTTGTTCTGTCTGTAAATGTGTGTGTGTGTGTGTGTGTGTGTGTGTGTGTGTCAGTGTCGCATTACATGGCAGCAGCTGAGTACCTCAGGGATCTGCTGGGTTTTTTTGGGTTGAGGGGCAAATGCACACAAACACACAGCAGTGTGTTGTTTTTGTTAGATATTGTGTGCGTGTGTGTGTGCGTGTGTGTGCTCCGAGATCCTTCCCCTCGGTGTGTGTCAGCTGAGCTCCAGCATAGTGGAACATAAAATCATCCCAGACGGTGTGTTTTCTCTCCGGATTAATCTTCCTTCCTTGTATTGAGAGATGGAGGCAGATGTCGATACGGAGCGGGGAAACCAACAGGAAATGATGTAATCCCAGATGCAGGTCTCAGGGGAAGTGATATAATGGTTGCTGGATCAGCAGGCAGCTCCTCACTCGTCCTCAGCTTCCTGTGCCCCCCGCCCCTCTTCCTGTGTGAGAGGACCTGCACATTCTGCAGTGACATGTGAGCCTGGCCTACAGGATGAACAC